CCCCCCCCCCCACAGCTCATCTCCACCTTGGACATGCTGATCCGCGCGCCGACCTTCGACCTGGACCGGGCCCTGATGGCCGGGGCCAGCTCCAGTACCCTGGCGCACCACTCGTCCACCGGGGCCGCGCGGCTGCCGACCCTGTCGCGCTCCGGCGGCGTGGAGCTCCCCCGGCGGGAGATCGCCGCCCGGCGCATGAAGCACCTCCCCCGGGTGGAGCGGATCCTGGCCCGGCTGGCCTCCAGCGGGGCCTACCAGGCGGATGAGCAGCTGGCCGAGGCGGCCGTGGCCCTGGCCCGGGAGCAGGCGGCCCAGCTGTCGAGCAGCAATCCGGCGGCCATGCGCGAGCTTTTGGTCCTGGCCAGCGGCGGCAGCCGCAGCGCGGCCGGCAGCGCGGCCGGCTCCCGGCGCGGGTCTCTCAACAGCCCGCCCGAGGGGCTGGCCGCCGGTGGCAGCAATGGCCACGCCAGCCGCGGGGGGTCCCCCTCCGGGGGCACGGGCGCCCCGTCGACCACGCCGCCCCCCTCGTCCCCGGCGCTGACGCGCATCCGCGACCGGGTGCTGTCCTTCTTCGGGCTGGGCAGCGCCGGGGACGGGGCGTCCGACCGGGCCGACGCCGACCCGCCGGCCATCACCATCGGGTGCGGCTGCTCGCCGTGCGCCTGCCCCCCCGGGGCGGGCGCCCCGTGTGATGGGCCGTGGCGCGCGGCCGGCGGCCGGGCCGTGCTCAACCCCAATGTGCCGGACTTGGACTTCACCCGGGCCCCGGCCCCGGCCTACCTGATGCCGAGCGGGTCGCCCTCGTCCCCCTCGTCGTCGTCGTCCTCCTCCTCCTCCTCCTCGTCGTCCTCCTCTTCCTCCTCCTCGTCGGACAGCGACAGCAGCGACAGCAGCTCCTCCGACTCGGAGATCAACCACATCGACTATCCGCAAGCCATCCAGGGCAATGTCCGGGGCAGCTCCCTGGCCAGTGCGTACAGCTCCCCGCTGCCGTCCACCCCGCAGGCTTCCTCGTCGGTGGTGTGGGTCGAGCCGTCGATGGGCTTCCACCGGCCGGTGCCGCATATCCTGGTGGACCCGGAGGCCGTGGCCAACAGCCAGCGCCAGGTGTCGCTGTTTGGCGATGCCGGCGGCAATATGCACGGCCGGTCCGGCGGCCGGCAGCAGCGGTCGCGCGACCGGCCGGCCACCTCCTCGGCCGTGGCCCTGGCCGCGGCGTCGGCCCTGTCGGCCCTGTCGCCGGATGCCCGGGGGCTGGAGCTGATGACGGTGCCGCTGGTGTCCTTCCGCGGCCGGCAGGCCCCGACCACGGTGGCCCCGCTGGCGGCCCCGGGCCAGCACCTGGCCTCCAGCACGCCCTCCTACCCGATCGACGCGCCGACCCTGCTGGATGCCGATGACCTGCAGCTGCTGTGGTCGTGGCTCCCGCGGTCGTACCGGCAGTCGCGGGATTTGGCCTGTGTGTTCGCCACTCGCCGGCATGGGTACTCGCTGGACTCGCTGTACCACCGGGCCCAGGACTACAAGGTGCGTGGCGGGGTGCTTGGCAGTGTGCGGGGGGGGGGGGGGGGGG